CGTCGAATACGACATATATATATATATATATATATATATATATATATATATATATATATATATATATATATATATATATATATATATTCAAACACTTCATTGAATAATATATACATATTATGTCTATTTATTTCCATACTGATTCTTTAGAGTTGACTAATCAGTTTCTTGAAGTTGAGATGAAATTTATCAATGAAGGCGCCTTAGTTTGTTTTTTTAACCCAATTAGTTTCGATCCTTTCTAAGATCATCTTCAGGGGTAAATTACAATGGCAAACACGCTATTGTAACTGCGATAAAATCTACATTCCGTTGTCATAGTGAGTTTTAAAAAATCACGCGCGAACGCGGTCTATTGTAGTTATTTTAGAATTTAACATGTATACATTGTAGATATGTAATTTTCTACAAAACGATCGTTTCAATATGAGGTAGCTGACCAGGAATTAGAAGAAATGTAAATAAGGCATTAGTATATAAATGTTATAACGACTTAAATATATTGTTGCTATATTCGAAATAAATTTTGATGAGTGTTGCTTGGTTGATTATACACACACACACACACACACACACACACACACACACGCACACACACACAAATATATATATATATATATATGTATATACATATGTATATATATTAAGAACACGCACACACACAAACATATATATATATATATTATGAAGACACAGACCCACGTTACATTTAAATTATGCTACGATTAAACCTACCATAGATATGAAACAATGTTTCTCCCGTAAATTCTCTTTAAACTCTACGAAATGACTCATCTGGAGTATATTTGCTTAACTTTCCACTTAGAATTGAGTATTTGTTGTGTGATATGCGTATAAACCGTTCCATGGCTTCTGCTATCATCTCTAATCTGGATAACCAAAAAAGTATGTGGATCTGATGGTATCCCTGTAATAGTCTTTAAGTTTGTTCCTGATATATGAGACATAAATATTATATATATTATGAACACACACACACACATATGTACATATAGAATATGTATATATATATATATATATATATATATATATATATATATATATATATATATATACCAATGAAAAGCTTTTGCTATAATACCCTCTCTCTATATATATATATATATATGTGTGTGTGTGTGCCTTCATAATATATCTAATATTTAAGATTCACACTAATATATGTTATTATTAGCATAAGTTAAATGTAACGATTCAATGAGAAGTGCAAACTTTTCTTATAGGGTTTTTTACCATAAGCTAAAAACCTGTTCAACTGCACGGTCTCTCTCTCTCTCTCTCTCTCTCTCTCTCTCTCTCTCTCTCTCTCTCTCTCCCTCTCTCTCTCTCTGGTTAATAAATTCTCATACCTCCATAGGCTTCCATCGGAAGTAATTTGTTTTGAATTCATGCTTGGATTGATATTTTTTTTATATTTCTGTTGAGAATTGCGCCATTGAGGTTTCTTCTCGGTTCAAAGCCGACACAGATTCTTTTATTCCTTCTCGGAAATACCAGGTGAAACCTCAATCTTCTCTATGTTTCACACCAGCATGTTCTGTTGCTATAGTCCACAGGAATCAATATTTCCGGCTATACCAGCATGGCAGTTCCGATCACAACAGACGACTATTCGTGACTGCACGTAATAAATGTAAAACTCTCCTCGAAGTAACTAAGTTTTTGTTTGCTGAAAGAATGAAGTACCATATTGCATCTAACAACTTTGGCTTGCGTGATTGCTGGCGTCTCTGTGACAGTGAATTAAATATGGGCAATTTTTCTTTTCCGTCTCCTTTCAATCGATTTGATGTATTAACATCTTCTACTGATAAAACAAAATGTTTCTCCAGTAAATTCTCTTTAAACTCTACGCCTTGACTCATCTGGAGTATACTTGCCTAACTTCCCACTTAGAATTGAGTCTTTGTTGAGTGATACGCGTATAAACCGTTTCATGGCTTCTGCTATCATCTCTAATCTGGATAACCAAAAAAGTATGTGGACCTGATGGTATCCCTGTAATAGTCTTTAAGAAGTTTGTTCCTGAACTGACTCTCTCTAAACTGTATAAAAAAAATACCTCGCTGCCATTTGCTTTCTTGCATACTGCAAATCCTCACCTGTTGTTCCAGTTTTAAGAACAATCCGACCCTTCCAACTATCGGCCTATTAGCCTTCTACTTCTTTTTGGTAAACTGCTAAACAATGCCTAATTTAAGTATCTCACATCGCAGGACTTTCTTTCAGACAAGTAATATTTGGTTTCTTTAGTTCAATTACTGATGCACTAACAATTATTGCAGAAAGAGTTTATCAAGCTTTAGATAAGAATAGTGAAGCTGTGACTGTTGCTTTGAACATCTCGAAAGCGTTCGAACGGGTTTGGCATACCCGGTCTTCTACGTACGTTGAGATTTGAACTAATTCAGTCTTTCTTATCAAATCGTGAAATGAAAGTTGTACTGAACGGTCATTCTTCTAGATCCGTTCGTACTAATGCAGATGTCTCCCAGGGCTCTATACGTTTTTTTTTTTTAATTTTCATTAATGACCTTCCTGATGACATCATCTCTCAACTTTGTATCTATGCTGATGACACAACCATTTAATCCTGTCTCTATAGTAAGTCTGATCACTTTGATAAGGTCAAATTGGCGGCTGATATAAAAAAAGACCTAAGACAAAACAATAGCTTGTTAATCTTAACGCTGCCAAAAGAAAACAGCTCTGATTTCCATTAGCATGGCTGATGCTAACCTCCAGGAAAGTGATTCGTTGCACTTTCTCAAGCTAACATTCTCGGTTGAAAGTGGAAAGATTATATTGAATTCATTGCTAAGATAGATGCTAAGAATTTGGTTCACTGTGTCGTACTAGACTCCAAAAACTATCTTACATATTTATAAGTCTACCATTCGTCCATACTAAAAATATTTCTGCCACATATGGTCCAGTGCTCCTGCTTTGTATATAGAGATCCTTGGTAAAATCAAAAAAAAAAATTCCGAGCCATTATCCATTAAACCACCCGCACATCCAAGCCAACACACCTGCTATTCCCAAGCGGTTAGCTATCTAGGTACTGACCAGGTTCGATGGCATCAACTATCACTGGATTTCCGATGCATGTAGTCGTTGGCTAAACTCATACATCTGGCCCGGTGCTCCTGCTGCATATTTAGAGATTCTCGATGAAATCCAAAGATGAATCAGCAATATTATTGGTCCTGATCTGGTATCTCGGCTTCAGTCACTTTCCCACCACTGTAAAGTTGCTTCTCTGTTCCTTTTCTATAAATACTTTTATGGCAATCGTTCTGATGAGCTCTTCACTGCGTCATCTAGATTTTATGAATTTAAACGCAGTACTAGATTGTCAACAAGGTCTCATCAATTTACAGTTCAACTAGCTAGAGATGCAGCTGTAGGTTCTATGCTTACAGTCTATTCTCTCACACTTCTCGCTTGCAGAACTTTCTTCTGGCTCCATGCTTTCCAGTTAACTTTCATCTTCAAAAATTTAAATGCAATGTCAATCGTTACTGTCCTGCTGGATACTATTCTATTGTTCTCGCTGCTTAGCAATGATTCTGTTTTTCTAATTCATTCACACTCAGTAACCCCTTATGTTTTATTGTGTTTAGTGCTTTACTTGGGGCAAATCTGATTTTTTTTTAAATTCTTACATATTCAAAGCACATACACTGGTTAAAAATTTCATGTTAACAGATAATATGCGCAGATTGTAATATCTTTGCACTTTATATATTTCAATGTACTTAGAACAAAAACTTTTATTCTTCCTATTTACTGAAATGTTGCTAATTATTTCAATGTGTGTCGTCTGAAAGTATTTGATACATTACTCGCAAAGATAAATTCTGCTAGATAAATGACTGTACATTCTAACTAATTTTCTCTTGGGCTATATTCTAACATATTGCTCTTATATCGAATTTCTTTGACAAATATTAACTTTTTGCTTTGCTTTTTTTCCCATCCTCATTGCTGAGGCTCGTAGATTATGCACAATTTTGACTTCCGAGTTGTCCTACTAGATTGGTTACTAATCACAGAGATCTCAGTCTGTCCTATTATTTAATCCGGGGCTTGGAGGAGAAGACATGGGTCCATACCTTTTCCAAGGGTATTTGCGTGTAAGTGAATGTATTGAATTCTCATGGAATTCGAAATCTACTCTCCAACTTCTCATTCCAGCTTGCTATCTATTTCACCACCCACACATCCTCAGTATATTAATATTAGCACTGAAACAAAATAATTCATCATATTGTCCCTTTTAAAGACTTAATCCTTTATTTGTGGTCCTTAGAAATAGAAGAAATAATTGTTAATTCATGAGATGTTATTTTTCTTAATTTTATTAATTCTTCGTTATCACAGAAGGATGGTAAGTATATCATGGTCTGAACATGTGAGCAACGACGAGGTTCGGGAGAGGATGCAAACAAAGAGGAAGCTTAAACTTAACATCAGGAAGAGGCAATTGAAATTTCAGGAACATGTAATGAGAAAGGAGTACTTGGAGAATTTGATACTCACAGGGCAGATAGAAGAAAAGCGAAGCAATGGAAAGCAACGCGTGATATGCTTAGTGGGCTTAAGCATATGGATGACGGAACAGGGTTTGGAAGAAGTAGTAAAAAAAACAAAATATGTTGAAAGCTACAAGGGATAGGGGGAAGTGGAGAGCCATGATCGCCTACGTCCTGAAGACACGGCACATGAAAGAAGAAGATAGTTAACGAAGTGCTTAGATATTGTCTTTTCTATAACCTTAAGTTACCTTAATTTTCAGCGCCTTTTGCCATATTAGTCCTTTACATTTGACGGGAAGCGTAGGAACTAAACTCATGATTATTTAATACCACCAATTTTTAGTTAATTTATGTTCGTAAATTAACAATAATTATTATAATCTTATTATATGACAGCAAATAATAATAATGATTTAAACCATTTAAAAATGAAAAGAATTAAATGGTTAAGAAAGAAAGAAAGATGACAGAAACAAAGTAAGAAAAAAAGAAAGAATTTAAATGATTGAAAAAGACAAATGAAAGAAAGAAACAAACAACCAAACAAACAAAAATAAATGAGTGAAGACAAATGACTGAGAAAGAAAGGAAGAAAATTAAATTATTGAGAAAGATAATTAAATGATTGAGAAAGAAAGAAAAAAAGAAAGAAAGAGAGAAAAATAAATGATTAAAAACATGATTGAGAAAGAAAGAAAGAAAGAAAGAAAGAAAGAAAGAAAAATAAATGATTAAAAACATGATTGAGAAAGAAAGAAAGAAAGAAAGAAAGAAAGAAAGAAAGAAAGAAAGAAAGAAAGAAAGAAAAGTATAATGATTAAAAAATGTGATAAAGAAAGAAAGAAAGAAAGAAAGAAAGAAAGAAAGAAAGAAAGAAAGAAAGAAAAGTAAATGATTAAAAAATGTGATTGGGAAAGAAAGAAAGAAAGAAAGAAAGAAAGAAAGAAAGAAAGAAAGAAAGAATAAAAAGTAAATGATTAAAAAATGTGATTGGGAAAGAAAGAAAGAAAGAAAGAAAGAAAGAAAGAAAGAAAGAAAGAAAGAAAAGTAAATGATTAAAAAAATGTGATTGAGAAAGGAAGAAAGAAAGAAAGAAAGAATTAAATTAATAAGAGAAGAAAGAAAAAGGCATCGGAATGTTTGAAAAGAAAGAAAAGAGAAAGATTCCTTCGAAATAAACAATCTCAGATACATGTGAATTTCTGTGAAAAGATTTTTTGTAAAAAGAAAATATTTACAAATATTTAAATTTAGTAAAGGTTTTTAATAAATCATGTGCCAATAAAATGAAATAAAATCTCTTGTACAGAATTTTCGCCTGTTAAAAGAAATACCTTCACAACCGTTTCTCGTTGTTATGGTAACACGAGCCATGCGAGTGGCTAGCACCCGTGACATAAATATAGGAAGTAATATCACAGTTTATATTATAGAAAAGACCATAAATTTTATTATGTCATTCTTAAGATTTTATTTCCTTGTGTGACATACCGTTCCATCAGCTACATAAAATATTTTGTCTTTTGTTGCAATAACCATCAGGGAAATTTGGTAAGAATCTCTTCTAAAAAAAATAATATATATTTTCCAAATTCGTAGCATAAATATTTAAGTTATCTATGCGCGTGTCAATATCAGTTACTGTAATCTCAGAAGCAATGATATATTTTCATAAACCCCAAAGTAACATCAAAAAGGTTTCCTTTTTTAATTCGTGTATTTAACTACCTTGAAATCAGATTTAAAATCATTTAGTTTTTTTTTCTTTCAAGCAAACGGAACAAGCAGTAATGACAACAAAAGATGATTCTTTTATAATAAACATTCTTCAGGCAGAGAAAATCCAGAATATCCATTCTTCAATGAGGATTTATTTTAAAGCCAACAAACACAATTCGATATTTAAGAAAAAGAATAATAAAATTCAACAAACGCCGTTGAATTGTTTGGATAAAGAAAAAGAAAAAGAAAAGAATATCACATGAAACCATTTCCATAACTTCTATTTTGCTTATGTGAAGAAAAAAAGTTTAGCGGAAAAATGAACGCAATCCAAACTTAACTTTTCTCTGTGTTTGTTCAAGTGGCATTTAAACAAGAGACGCAAACTGTTTTTTTTTGTTGTTGTTGTTGTTTTTATCTTGTGCCAGGAGGAAAATTAAAATGATTATTCTTCAACTTCTCTTTTTTCCTTGCTATGAATAAGCATAGATTAATAAATATTCGTAGATGCTTAACAAGATCATTTACAGTTCGTATACTCTGCTCCATAAACCATTTTTGTACTTTTCTGAATATTTCGAAACACACCGATGTGCCAAAAGTCATAGGGATATTACCTATTACCCACTTGAACTCATTTTAGACGGCAATGTGCAACCACTTTCCTATTACAGTTATGTACCTTCCCTGTACCTTTTCTAGAAATACTGTCATGGTAATTGTTCTGATGTGTTTTTCTTTTTGCTACCTCGACTTGAATTCAGTACTAAATTGCCAGGAATGTCTCATTATTTTACTGTTGAAATTGCGATACGTAATTTTTATGCTAATTGTTTCTTCCTACGCTCTTGGAACTTTCTTCCTGCTTCTTGCTTTCCTCACGACTACAATCTTCAAAAACTTAAGTGCGATGACAATAGTCATTATCTGTCTTCTTGCATTCTGATCTTTTACTGCATGTCCTCCATAATACTTTTTTGATTTCTTTCACTCTCTGTAACTCTTTATGTCTTAGTGGCTTTATCACCTTGCTCGGGGCGAAATTATTTTTTTAAAAAATGCGTTATTATATTCTTCTATTTTCTTGCATGCGAATAGACCATCATTTCCAGAAATCTGTAGTTTGAAATCTTCTGGTAACAAAGGCATTATCCCGCAAGGTACATGGAATTCATGGAAAGGTACAAATGATCACGAAGCACTGCAACGTAGAAGTGACGTGTTTAGATGAGCAGATTTGTTGGCAGCTGGAGTCCATAGCTTCATGCAGTCTCCATCACAACCTAAACCCTACCATCAGCTATAAACTACCTCCCGATACGCATGCGAACCTCATACATCCAGATAAACTCCTTACGGCAATCAAAACTCTAGAGACAAGGTTCTTCTCACCAGAAAAGTTATTGGAAACCAAAAGAGTGAAATTAGAAATAGTTATAAATACAAACTTGAGGCTAGTTTTGTCCGAATAACAAAATAAATGAAAAAGCGAAAGGAAAGAAGAAATCAAAGAGGTCGAATGCTGAACATAAATGTGAGAACATGAGTAAAGGAGGTAGCAAGTGGCTTGCTTATCTTATTCTTTTATTTGTTGTGTCCCTTCAGGGTGTAGGCGATCATGGCTCTCTACATCTTCCTGTCACTTGTACCTTTTAAGTTTATTTCTCCCAAACCCTGGTCTGTCATCCATTTACTCATGCTCATCAATTATGTTACGCGCTGTTTTCCTCTTTCCCTCAATCTGTCCCGTGAGTACCAGGTTTTCCAAGCCCTCCTTCTTCATTACGGGCTTCAGAAATTTCAACTGCCACTTGCTGATGTTAAGTACAAGTTTCCTTTTTATTTCCATTCTCTCCAGAACCTCGATGATGGCCCATGGAATCTTCAGTATATTTCTGTAGAATTACATTTCTGTTGCTTCAAGTCACTTCATCATCTTTGAGAAGATTGTTCAGCATTCATTCCATACAGGAGGATAGATATCACGTAACAGTTCAGTACTTTTCTTTGTTGCCGATGAAATATCTCTGTCTCTCAATACTTTGCCTAGCATCATGAAAGCATCTTTGGCTATCCCAATACGTCTTCGGATCTTAGTGTCACACTTTCCTTCCTTTATTAGAACGTTTATCAGATACTAAAATTTCTGTAACTCTCTGATTTTAGTATCCCCCACCTGTAATTTGCATTTTGGGCTCACCCTTTTGCTGATAACCATGTATTCTGTCTTAGTTTATGATTAGATCTTTCTTCGCTATCCTTCTGCAGGAGGTTTTATAGTTGTATCTCCGTGTCTGCTATCAGCACTGTGTCATCTGCATATCTTATATTGTTAAGATTGTTGTTTTCTGCTAATATAGATTCGTAATTATTTCCGAATATGTCAAGGTTTCTGAGCAGCTCTAACAGATATTTGTGACGTACATTGTCGAACGCATTTGCGTAATCTATACAGCACAAGAGCACGTTTTTCTGCATTTGTATTGCTCTTTCTGATAACATTCCTAGGATAAACATCGCGTTCTTCGTTCCGGTGTCATTGACGGACCTGCACTATTCTTGTACTGTCTCTGGCCTGAGTCTGCTGCGCGCTCTATTCATCAGATTTCGGATGATGAGTCCTATTATGTAGCTCATTAGGCTGATTGGAGTTTGCATTCGTTTTGCTTTAAAATGTAATAAAGTTGGCAGTAATAAGTATACAGAAATGAAGAATGCTACAGTATGACATAATGTGAGAACAGTCAACACGTGGTGATAGGGTGATAGAGATATTTAAATAATTTAAATATATGGAATGTGTCTCAAGAAAGTTACATACCGACGATGCTATCGTTGGTGGTACAAAAAGTAGGAAGTGCGTGCTTTGACCCTGTGGTTTCTTGTGCCTGTTCCTATAATTAGTAATGTTGGAATTTTTGGGTACCCTGGTGTACTAATGAGCCAGCCAAAATGAGCTTTATAGTTCACCTATAGAAGCGTTAACCTATCAGAAGGCTCAAAATATTAAACGCGACGATTATAAAGGCGGCCATGTTTTTCCCGAATATGCACTGCCAGCCTTTGATTTCGAAGACTGAAGAATTACAGAACAGCTGCTGGTGGTATTGGCGATATAGTCAGATTCAGTAGAGTGTCTGACTCGTGAGTGTTAATCTTTAACGTTGTTTCATTGAACAGATTACGTACTGCGCTGTATTCTATATTCATAGACTATGGTGAACATGGTCAACAAGTAAGTGCTAAACAGGAAGTGGTCAAAACAATTACTAATCGAAAATGTATCTAAATTAAAAAGGTAACGAACAAAGAGAAAGTAAAACAATGGGGGTGCTGTACAAAACAGGAACCATGGCTCATCCGATCTCGCCGTACGTTACCATACACTATGTCTACTGTCGGAGTTTTAAGTGTGCACTTTGGTGCGCTCATTCTCTCATATTCCATAAGTTAAAGGGGCACCTCGGCGTGGTGTAATAGTTAGCAAGCTTGTTTCGCTAAAACAGTTACGACTGAATAGTGAGTTCGATCCTCACTGGGTGTCCCATAGTTTCGGCCTTGTGCCACATTTAAGCTACGCTTAGAAAATCAATATATGGGAACCTCGAAGTGGTGTAATGGTTAGCAAGCATGTCTCGCTAGAACAATTACGACTGAGTAGTGAGTTCGATCCTCACTGGGTGCACCATGCTTTCGGCCTTGTGCCACATCTAAGCTACGCTTGGAAAATCACTATACCATAAGTTAAAGAACGCTGGACTGATCTGGATTGAATGTTGACGTGATCTGAGCGAGGGTCGTTTGTCTGTTATCACAGACAATTCTAGCTAGACTTTTCTGGTTTTGATCATTTAGTACCTGTATTCGATTACTGCGCTGTGTGCCATGGGGGTAACACCGCCCATCAAGAATTCCTGATACATCCGTAACATTATAGATCACTGTCAAATAACAATTTCAGAAGTGCACCCACTAACATACTGTAATCAAAATAATTCTCAAGAGTAGCCAAGCCGCTTGGCTGGTTGATTTTGTTAAGCGTCATATCAACCTCTATGGCGAAATCTAAATATTTTAAACGCATTTGCGCGCCTTCAACTACAGATAAAATGTATTGCTGGTCATTCTGCTATAAATATGTATTTTTGTACTTTCATAGTGTTCTGTTTTTCGGTGTTCACACTGATTTACCAGATGTCATACCACAACTGATATAGGTCAGAGCATTTCTATGACGTGAAGATAGCACCTATTACCTTTACCTACTGCCATCTCATGACATTTGGCCCGCCAGTGTATTATGTATAAATGAACATGAACAAACACGACAATTTTCGCAAAATGCGTGTAATTCATATTTTAAAAACTTTTTTTCACACAAATAAATTTACTATGATTAGAAAGAATCTCCTTAAAGTGAAGATTAGGAAAATATTCATTAAATACTTCAGCAAATTTTTTTTCGCTCAGGA